GTTACGAATATCACGGAATGAATAACAGGTTGTATGTAAATTTTTGATCGGTAAATAAGATGAAACAGATAAATTGCCATAAATGTCATAAATGAAGGTATATCTCATAGATAAAATGAAAATCAAATAAATTTTGTCGGTGGTACATAAAAATTCAAAATTATGGATCGATCGACTTATTTCCGAGCGCGATTTTTAGATATCGTAGAGTAATGATCTAAAATAGTCTAGAAAGTTTTATAAGTGTTCCTTTATTTACTTCGTCTTGCTGAGTCATGAGCTACGCCAAGCAAGCCAAGCCGAAACTGATCTTTAAACAGAATATGATAAAGTGAATGTCCCAAGCTGTTAAGCATATCTCTATAAGCAGAGCTCATATTTAGTTGCTGTTGTTATCTTTAGCCTTTTCCAGGCGTTCATTTAGTAAAACGGAGCGAAATGGTGCATGGCATGATAACAGCGGCGGAGTGTAAAAAAAAAAAAAAAAAAGAAAACGGGAGAAGTTTGGGTCGGGTCAGGTGAACACCGTTTTTACCTAAGTCGACCCAAGCCGCACTCTTGTTTTCGGTCAGCCTGGACTATCTCGCCGTTTACTGTGCACTTCATTTTACTAACTGAAAGCCTCGAATAGGCTGTGTTATCACTCAATAAGCTGTCAATAAAAACTGTGATGTAGGCTAAGAGTGACTACTACAGATATTTTCTTCGAGTCAGTGGTGGAGCAACTTATTACGAAAGAGGAATGAAGAGTTAGACAAAATTAATCCAACTTTAATTCTTATTACGGTAATCTTTTGCAAAGGTTTCTGTAGCTTTATGCGTTGCGCCTATGAAATGATTGGATGTTTTTGTTCGGTTGCAAAACCGTATTGTAGAAAGATAGTTTTGTTTTTCAAAAAACCAAAACCTCACCTTAACCTTAAAACCTTCGCTAAAATAACATGTTATTGGGGTCCATAGACTCATCCAAGTGAAGTCTTATAGTTCCTTCCGGATATATATGATGTATATACTGCAAATATTCTTCGTTTTTACCGTGGATAACCTGCAAAAGAGTGGAAACAACAAAAGGATGGCGCCTTTTGCTTTTTGGATACTGCTGGTGTCGCTGGTTTATGCTACATTTTAAGCTACACCGATTAGATATCTATGCTACCTATTGGATGTGTTTGGTTCACGAAGTAACTGGCTATGTGTTATGTTCAGTGTCTTTGTGGACGGTAATGGCCATGAGCGTGGACCGACTTCCCGTCATATTGTTGGGACTAAGTTACAAAGCGATTGCAACTTTGAGGCGCATTATACCATTTTAGCTATCGTCTGGATGTTATGTATAGTCTCTGGTTTATGTTTGGATGCAAATTACCGTTGAACCTTTTAGTGCAGCTTCATACTGATGCCATCCCGCTTGGTAATCCCAATCGCCTCGTACACAATGATTCTTCTAGCTCTCAATCATCATTAGGCTCAATTACAAGATCATGTTTGACAAAAGCCGAACAAAACAAATGCACCGAACGTGGCGTGATACAGAAAGGCAGTGTACAGTGCACTGAGGGTGGAGTTTGCTTTAGATCTCTGCTATGTACCAAACTTAACAGCGGAAATTGTGATATCTTTTAGTTCGAACCGATTATCGAATTTCATCACAATCATCATAGTGATTCGTCCAAATGACGAATGTTTTAGTTTTCTTTAACTCCACTTTAAACCCGTTTCTTCACCCTCAGAAGATCAAAGATATAAGACAAGCAGTAAAGCAGACAATCAGATAAGCAATTTGCCATGCATAGGTTTCGACCTATTTTGACGTTTACATGTTCTCTTTCTTCCAAAGCTTTTTAACAATTATGGTTGTTAGGACAGTGGAGAGGATATACCATATGATAAAAGAGTAAGTAAAACTATGAAGAGCTACTTCTATTTTGTATATCGTATTCAAGTTATCTTAAGAACAACTGAAATCTAAAAAACTCTTACTTTGGTAACTATATCACAAGAGTATCATATGCCGAATTCGCACACTTCTAATGAGGCAGTGAAGAGTCTTCTTTTCAAGAAGAATACGCTTACGATTTTGCTATTTAGTCCAAAATGGATTAGATATGTCACTTTGGCTCAGATATACGATTAAGTGTTAACGGATTGTCACAGGAGCCACAGGCTCAATTTGTAAATATGTAGACTGTTTTTTTTGTTTTTTTTTGTTTTTTTTGTTTTTTTCACCTGTTTAAATATTTTGAAATCAATTCTTAAAAAGAAAGTCGATTATCACTATTTTCACATCTATCGCGTAAGATCAACCGCTTTCCAGAGAGCAAGTTGCAAATTACGGCAGAAGAAATGTTTGAAAAAAAAAAAACTCCAACATGCTTGATAAGACTAGCTGTTTTTCAGTATGTTACCAGATTCTCTTAAGACCGCTTATCGAGTGCAAAATTATAGTTCTGAGAGGGTTATCTACCGATTTCTTTGAGCAGGTAATTTTAAATCCACTTTTATGACCAAATTCAAATAAACAAGAAGGCTTATGTTCTAAATAACTCTAGAAAATTTTAAAAATGCTCCTTTATTTACTTTAACTTGGTGAGTCATGAACTAAGCCAGGCGAGCCAAGTTAAAACTGACCTTTAAATAGAATATGATGAAATGATGTAGAATGGTCCAGGCTGTTTAGCATATCTCTATAAGCAGAGCTCGTATTTAGTTGCTGTTGTTATTACTAGCCCTTTCCAGGCGTTTATTTAGTAAAACGAAACGAAATGCTACACGGCACGATAGTAGCGGTGGAGTGATGAAACGGGAAAGTTTTGGGTCGGGTCGGGTTAGGTCGGGTGAACGACGTTCTTTGCCTGACTCGACCCAAGCCTCACTCTTTTTTCGGTTCGCCCTGACTATCGCGCCTTTCACTGTGCACTTCGTTTTACTAGCTGAACTGCTCGAACAGGCCGTCTTATTACTCGATAAGTTGTCAAAGAAAAAGCTCCGATGCAGAGTACAAGAAACTACAACATATATTTTTTCGAGTCAGTAGTGGAGCCACTTATAACGAAAGAGGAATCGAGAGACAAAATGAATGCTATCACCTGTGGTACACATAACAAATTAATTTAATTTATCTTACTGAATGGTTTAATAAGCAAACAATGTAACAAAAAAAGGTTTCTGTAACTTTATGCTTTGCGCCTATGAAATGATTGAATATTTTTATTCGGCAGCAAAACCGTGTTGTATAAAAAAAAGCTAACATATGTATAGTTTTTCAAAAGACTTACTCAAAACCTTGGCTAAAATAACGGTATTGGTGACCATAGATTCAAACAAAGGAAGTCTTCCAACTGCTTCCTGACCAAGTAACATCTGTGTTGCAATCTTTTTTGTTGTTGACAAGTTCCGGTATCACAGCATTGGCATAAGCACTTCATCGTCTGTCAATAGCTATTAGTGAAGGTTTTCCTCAGTCAAACACTGATGATTTCATCTTTTTTTTTTTTATTATTTTTTTTTAAACAATGGTCACAGAGAGTATAAATTTGTCCCTACTATACGATGCCATGTCCAAAATGCCGTTTACCAATTACGGGTAACTAAGACAGACAGTGATGTTCAGGAGCAAACTTCCGCCTTAAAACCAGTGATAATTTGCACACACATTGTGTCCCGTGGGGGGAGAAATTGATTCTTTTTTATGTTTTGACCAACATTTCCACCCTTTAAAAGATGCGACATGTAGAGAAAAAAAATTAAATCTTTTTAGAATAACTTTGCATCTCTAACCAACATAAATTTTGAAATATGACTTTTTCTCTACGTTTTCCTAAGCTGTTGACAATTCGTATCATCCCAAGGTCACGTGAATTAATAATTCACGCTATTATCCGGGTAAGGAAACGAGTCCGATCCAAACAACACGTAGGCCGTTCCTTTATTGCTGGAAGATAAGTGAAGTGAGACGAGCAGTAAAGCAGACGATCAGACATGCAATCTGCTTTGCAGAGGGGTAGACCTATTTTAACGTTGGCATGATGTCGGACCAAAGAGATCCATTGCGACTATTGATCACTTCACGTACACCTCCACCAATGTCATTTACTGCATAACTTGCATTTATTGCTAAAAGTTATACATTTGTGAAATAGGAAGACGACTAGGTGACCGTTTCCATGAACACCTTCATGACGTAGACAGAAATGACAAGGACGCATCCAAATCAGTCGCTGACGCTTAAATCTTATCGCGGCCTTTCCCTACATCCAGGCGGTTCGGAAAGCCGCAATAATCTAGAGAAAAAAATTTATCTCTCAAATCGGCGCTCTTAATCACCGCAGTATCAACAAGCGCTTGTGATTCAACTTATTTATTATTGTTTTCTCGTTATCATGCCCCCATAAATGGCGTTTCTGCATCTAAACACTCACACAACCCACAATCCCTCCATTCGCTCTGACGAAGGCCTAATGCTCGAAACTTCAGCTTTGGAATTCTTTACGGTGGCCAAATTACCTAGTTCCAGGCTAGGTGATTTCGGATTGCAATGCATCGTCATTAAATTGCAAAAGAATTTAGTGCAAAAAAAAAACTGATTCACTTGCCGTTTACAGGCCAGGACCACACTTATTTCATGCAGCTGGCGTACAGAACCAGAAGCAGATGGGCGTTGTTTTCACTTTAAATCGACAGTAAAGAAGTTTTTTTTTCCGCTTTCATTTTTTTTTTGTTTTATGTTGTGTTGGGAAATTAACCTATCACAAATACAGTTTTATATTACCCTTATTACCAATTCAAATTCGCGCACAAAAACCGGTCTTTTTTCTCGTTCGTTCGACAAACCTCACAGTTTACTGAATAGTCAGGTAGTAGTGATGAATTTTCACTCTCTTTAATTGCTATTAAAAAACTAAGTTTTAACTGATCTTGTCTCGGAGGTTGCTGTTTAGACGAAATATCCCTTGTTTGTAACTAAGAATAACTCGCAAAAGAGTGGACGCGACAGCAGGATAATGGCGACAACAAATATAACAGGAACTGGAACACAATCGAAAACATTTGAAAGATTGCTATGCCCACCGGTTTGGATAGGTGAGTTTAAAAAACAGTCCATTTCGTTCTCAGCAGTCAACATTCTATTCTCCATCACAGCAACACTTGGGAATTCTCTCATCCTTGTTGCCCTTCACAAGGAATCTTCCCTCAATCCGCCATCCAAACTCTTGTATCGTTGTCTGGCAACAACTGATCTGTTGGTTGGTCTTGTTACCCAGCCTCTCTGTGCTACCTATTGGATGTCTTTGGTTCACGAACATTGGAGTCTTTGTAGATACGTAAGGAACGCAATCTACATATCAGGTTATGCATTATGTGGGGTGTCTTTGTCAACGTTGACGGCCATAAGCGTGGACCGACTTCTCGCCCTGTTGTTGGGACTGAGATACAAAGATATTGTAACTTTCAGGCGCACGTACATCATTTTAGCTATCTTTTGGATTGTATGTCTAGCCGCTGGTTTATTCTCTCTTCTAAATTACCGTATAACCTTTTGGTGCAGCTTCATAGTTACATCATCTTGCCTAGTTATCTCAATCGCCTCGTACACAAAAATTTTCCGCGCTCTCAGTCATCATCAAGCTCAAGTACAAGATCATGCTCAACAACAGGCGAGCCAATCAATTACTCTGAACATGGCGCGGTACAGAAAGGCAGTGTACAATGCACTTTGGGTGCAGCTAGCTTTAGTTGTCTGTTATGTACCATATGTTACACTGAAAATTGTGATCTCTCTTAGTAGAGAGCGATTTCCGAATTTTATAATAATCACCGAAATGGCAACTGTCCTAGTGTTATTTAACTCTACTTTAAACCCGTTACTTTACTGCTGGAAGATAAGTGAAGTGAGACGAGCAGTAAAGCAGACAATCAGACAAGTAATCTGCTATGCATAGGGTAGACTTATTTTAACGTTAACATATACTGTTTCTTCAGTAGCTTACTTCATATATAAAACGAGTAAGGAAAAATATGAAGAGCTACTTTTTAAAAGTATATTGCATTCGAATAGCGAATAACCAACAGGTGAAAAATTGTAGTTTGTAGCCAAGTTGCGCATTTGTGATGTAGTAGTAAAGGCTATCAGTAATTTTGGAATCAGAATACGCTCACGTTTTCCTTTGCGATCAAAACTTGATAAGATATGTCACCTGAGCTCAGAAATATGGTTTAGTGGTAACGAGTTGTTAACAGAGCCAGCCGCTCAATTTTGTCATGATTAGGAATTAGCCATAGTGTTTATAACGAAACTTTGTAAATTAAAGATGCGAACTTTGTTAACAATTGTTTAAAGAAACAGAAGGAAATGCTTAGAAAATAAGCTGATCATCTCTATTTATTATAGAGTTATCATTTGAGACCAATTGTTTGCCTGAGATTATCTCGCAAGTTATAACAGAAGAAAATTATAATAAGAAATCATGAAAAAATAATGGCTACGATCGATTTTGTTATATGGAGAGTATTCGCTAATAGCAATGTTTACAACTAAAACCAAAACTTATATTATTAAAGCTGAAGATGAATTACAAAAAAAAAAATTGTCCCAAATGAAGGAGAATTTTTATTGTTAATGATATTTGAAGTAAACTTTCCACTACCAGCTTTCTCTACAGACTTTTTAGGGCATAACGGCAGAGTTCAATGTAGTTTGATCGGTAGAGAGCTTGTCATTATCTCAAAGCTCCAGCCAGGTGCGAAGCGTAGAGAACAAACAAAAAAAATTCAAATATATTTAGGGATAACTATGCATCGGTAACCATACATTAATTTTGAACAGTTTTATTTAATCTAGTTTTCTATTTTCCCAATACCGATTAACGTTTTCAAAGAGGGCTTTTTTTCCTTCAACTAAGATAATTCACGGCGTCTTAAGTTTGCATAAATTATATCAAAAGCCCATAAACCACCATATTGATGAAAGTTTATTTGAGTAAACAGAATTTTTTGTTGTCTTATCGTGAACTAGTTCTATCACAAATGTATATTTTCTTGCCGCATATTGCTATTTCAAATTCGCAGAAAAAACCCGGCCTCTTTTTTTCTATTTCGCGTGGCACACCGGACAGCTTGTTTGCGCATTTTGCATAGTCAAACACTGCTAATGAGGTCTTTTTGTGATTATTATTCACAAAGTGATGTTTAACTGATCTTGACTTGGAGGGTGCTGTTAAGACGAAGTATTCCTCGTTGTTACTATGGATAATCTGCGAAAGGATGCAAACAACATTAGGATGTTGCCTTTTGCCTTTTGGATATTGCATGGTGTCGCTGCTATCACACGGCCGTATGATTATATGGCCTCTATATGCTACCTGATGGATGTCTGTGGTTCACGAACAGTGGAGGTCCAGGAGTCTTTGCCGATACTCGTTTTACCCAACCGGTCTTTATAAAGATGTGGACTTTCTTTTCATCTGTTTACTGAAATATTTTTGAATCAATGATTAGAAAATAAGTTGATTACCACTATTTTCACATAGATTTATAGTATGAGAGGAATCGTTTGTCGGAGACCAAGTTCGCAAATTATGACAGAAGAAACTTATGTTACGAAATAGTTAAAAAACTCTAACATAGTTGATAAAACTGACTTTTTTTCAGTATGTTACTAACATCGATTAAGACTGTTCATCGAGTGCAAAATTTTAAAAGGTTATTAATAGATTTCTTTGAGAAAATAATTTTAAAGACACTTTTATTTTTTAAATTCGAATATTCAAGAAGAATTCGTGACTTTGTAAACACAGCTGGTCTTATGAGAAAATATTCTCTCGTTTGATGACAATCGAGTAAAAAAGCTGCTGACAAGCGCTCTTGAGTACCTACCGCTACTCCTAATTAAAATGGTTTGTATAACAGCTTACCACAGCAAGGATCATTTCCACGCTTCAATTTAATCTAAAGGTCAAAAAATGATTTATTTCATTAAAATTCTGAAAAAAAAAGAAGAGGTAGTTTGAAAGTCATAAATATTTGGTTAAAAAACCATCACGCTCTAATCTCTTTTATGTGGTTCCCTTTAACGCTTCCCTTTCGTCCTGGGGACCGTTACGAATATCACAGAAGGCATTACGTTTTATTCGGCCAGAAGAGAAGATAGATTGAAGAATTATCGAAATATTGGAGTAATAGAACGGGGAAAGAGGTATGTCATCTTGTTTATTTTTGTATTTATATACCGAAACGTGTACAATCAAAGGTAGTTTTGTTTCGCTTAGGATATTTGTGTTGTTTTTATCTATTTGTATACACGCCCCGCGAGTTCGAGTTCAGGACATTTCATTATCATCATCATCATCAGGTCGAGCTTGCTCGGTGTAGGCATATTGGTACATTTCAATTAGTGTATATTGTGTGGTCATGGCTTATTTTCAATTAATTTATTGTATTTCAGTTTTTACGAGCTTTCAAGTTGAATGAACGAATTGAGATTCGATAAACGCTCGGATGTTCCGTCAATATAAAACATTTCTCCGACGCGGCGCATCTAGATTCGATTACAGTCAGCTCCGCCCTATTACACAGTGTTATTCGGCGGCAAAATTCCGCCTTAAAACTAGAGATAATTTGCAAACAAAATGAGGAATATTTGAATTATTTATTATCTTTAGAGCAACTTTTCCACCCTCTCATCTATCTTGAGACCTTTCAGGGTATAAAGGAAGGAAAAATTGTCGTATAATTTCTTGTCGTTGAATAACGGATTCCCTTTAAGGATGAGTACACATGCCAACGTCTGGGGATGATAATTTCAACGTCTGTTCACCAAAGGGAAGTTCTTGGATAATGCCTTCACTTGTGATGAAGCCAAGGAAGTGTTCGAGCTGTGAGACATACATTCTCGGCACAGTACGAATTTCAACTTCAGCACCTCCTTCATACATGTGAGCGTGTTGCCTGGCGATATTAAATCTATATCGTGTTAGACCAGGAATCCAACTCTGTAACGTTCGATAGCTAACTTTGTCAGCAATAATGGATAGGATTTGCCTTCGTGTGCTCCAGTGGCTCGCATTCTTATAGCATTCTGCTAAGGCGTCAACAAGCGTTAAGTCAACTTCGTCCTCTGTCTGTGCGACATCGTCTGATACCACTAGTTTATTCAAGAGGATTTCAGCGTTTCCTGGTGCAATTTCTTCTAGGGCTGCTATCACAACTTGTCTTGCTTTACGAATGTGGTAGCGTTGTGTTCTGCGGGCTATTGAATCCCTTGATGTTAGCAACTGACGACGTACAGGGCTGACATCCCAACATGCTAGGAATGCATTGAGTGCTTTTCTAGAACTACCTTTTGCCTCTTTTGCGCTATCGGAATCTTCGGAGCTCTCAGATGGGTGGTAAAAGCTCCCAGGTGTTTCCGCGGTCAGTCCCGGTGGTATTTCAGAACTACTACAAGTACCTTTTACCTCTTTTGCGCTTTCAAAATCTTCTGAGCTCTCAGATGGGTGGTAAAGGCTCTCCGTTGTTTCCGTAGCCAATGCAGGAGGTTCATGTTTTTCTGGAGAAACCGTAGGATTCATTGATATGTCACTACTGTTGGCCTGAGGATATATTCAAAGCACAAGTTTGAGTAGCGGCTATATGGCTTGGCACTCTATTTAAGGAATTTTTTTGCACTGCAGCAGGTTCGTCAGTGCTCTTGCTTAATTACGCCCTCCTACATTACTTACAACAACAAATAGAAATTTTAGTTTAACTTTAATTACTTCTTCAGAAAGTGTTATTGCGCTAAAAAAAGGCTGTGCAATTCTATTGAACCTATCGATTAGATTGCTCACCATCTTTAGATCCTTGATTGCAAGCGTTAGTTCATCAATCTGTGACTTGCTTTCAAAACTCTCTCTGCATTTTCTACAGATACCTGTGCGATGGTAATAGAAGAAACAGTTATGAAAACGATTACGATAATAATAATGACAATGATAATAATAGTGATGCTGATGATGTTGATGATGACAATAACAACAATGATGGTGAAGACGATGACGACTACAACGATGACGAGTAATGAAATGGAGCTCTTCCTTCCCATGATCGAAAAATGACTACAAATCGTGGGGAAGTAATACAGAAAGAACAAACTTAACCTAGCCCGAAATCTTCGACGTACTTAATTCAAGGTATGAGTTCCTATCATCTCTAATCTGGACCTGAACCAATTTTAAGACTCACGCAGCCAATAATTTATGTCTACTGAAAAATTGCATTTCTTTAAAAGTACCAATATCTGAATACATAGAGCACATATATTACACAACAATTAACTTTTTTGCAATAGGGTGTATGAAAGCCACGCCTGAACCTAGAGGTACAAGGATGCCGGTTCTCTGAAATATAACTTTTGATATCGCTCGAGCTCTGCTAACGCCTCTGTCTCCCTTGACCATTTTCCTTTGCCGTGGGAGGCGATCTCATCTAGGATTCTGCAGGTATTCTGGCTCGCTCGCCATCTAAAGCCAAGCTCAGAACGGTGGAATGGACAAATTATTAAGGCGTTTATATCCTTTGCACTCATGTAAAAAATACCTGCTCGGGCAAGGATGAGTTCACTCTCGTTCTCAACTCCGGCAAAACACCAAGCACTTTTATGATCCTGTACATCCTTATTGCACGACACCAAGGGAACCACCTCAAATAATTTACTCCTGTCTCGTCGGTCGTACGAGCAAGCACTTCCAACTATAAAATTAAACGAGCAAGAAGCTTCCATTTCATTCACAAGCGAGACTTCCGTTTCAAAAGGGGCGGGAAATAATTATTTTTCTAAGTTTCACGAGAGAAAAATCGAATGGAGTAATGTTTATTAAGTTTTGTTATTTAAATAAATTGTCTCGCTTTTAAATAGAAAAGTCAAAAAACATCATAGTTTTACACACGCGGAAAAAAATATAAA